CCGAGAGCTGGAGAGCCACATCCCCAAAAGAAAAGCAGCAGTAAATCAGCACGTTTAGTGACTGCAACTACATCCCATTAGCAGGTCTGGGCAGTGCAGCTAAATAAACTTTTCAATGTCTCCACCCCCTGGAGTTTGTCACAGATGCCCGGTGTGGACATAACTACCTATAGCAGAGCTATAACACAGTTGGCTTTGTTTAAAACTTCAATATATTGAAGAAATGTATTATGAAAAATCTCAGGTTTTGGTAAGAACCCAAAGCTAACACCGTTCATAATACTTTAAAGTTGCAAAGAAGAGACTGAAAACAGGTTCTGAATGTACCCTAAAAGCCTGAGGAACCAGACAGTAAACCCCGTCAACTTCATAAATTTAGTCTTGGGATTTAGTTGGCCAATGCCACCTCTTTGATTATTTATTTACTTTTAATTTCGCAGTGCTGAAGATAACTGATATTGGTAATCTTTTAAAATACATTCACAATTACTTTTCTCCGTAAGGCAATACAGCAATAACGTTATTTTATTAATGCTAAAGAAAAAAAAACAACAAACAACTGATAACTGTAGGAATGGAGAGTCTATACAATATAATTACAATGAAGTTACAAAATACAATGAAATTATTTTGTGGGGGTTTTATTTTGTATATAAAGCCTTGTAATGATCTCATTTAGCCACTGTTTCTTTTAAGCCATATTGTAGACTATGTATTTTAATGAAAAACAAATATATATTAAAGGTAGCTCACTTCTCATCACATCTGTTCACTGTGAATTCTAAGCCAGGTCTCACGATTATGTGACTAACTATTGTTTTGCTCCTATTTCCCTGCAGAATCAACATAGCTCAAAGAGAAGGAATTGAAACCTATTCCTTCCTGTGAATCATCACACAAATTGTTTGCAGGACTCCAGTCAATTGCAGATAGAAACTCACTTGAGAGAATAGAGGGGGGTTGGTTTGTGGGTTTGTTGTGGTTTTTTTTTTTATTCTTTACTGGTGGTAATGTGGAAGCAAACTATTCTGCTTCAATCAGAAAGCAGAGAGAGTTGGGCAAGTTGATCAAGCTTAATTTCCCAAGCCTATCTGTACTCTAGCTGAGTGATTCTGATATACAGCTTTTAAAATAAAGTATTTTTTCACAGTAAAATAGTATTATTTTCCCTTAAATATGCATATTTTAAAAAAGAAAATCAATCCTTTGTTTTCTTCATAATTTTAAGTGCTTTTTTTGCAGATAGCACAATGGTTCACCTTGTTTGAAAATATTAACCAAAGTGAATGATCACAAATTCCATCCTCTAGAATATATGTATCCATTTAGGTATTCTCTAAATTAAATGTTAAATTACCAGAGCAGGTATAATAAATAGCCTGTATTTTAGTGAATTTTGGTGTAGTCAGTTGGATTCTGGATTTTTCTCTCATTTTTGGACCAAAGAAGTGACCTTCAGCATCCAGAGAGGAAAGAATAATTCCATGTAGAACATGTTAAGGGATGGGACAAGAAGACAAAAACACCATAGACTGTAAGAATTCAAGAGATACAGGAATAACAGTGGGTACAGGGTCTCTGCCTTCCCTTCTGGCAGGACTTTCAATTCTTACCACTTTACAGTTGGAGCAGGCTGTTTTCCCTGTAAGTAAGCAAGTCTTCACACCAGTGTTGCTTTGCTAATTGTCTTCATAACTACTTGTCTTCATAACTATATGCTGGGCCAAATCTCTTGGCCCTAGGATACCTTAAGTATCTTTCCTAGCTCTGGGTTTGAGATGGTAGTAGTTCCAAACTGCAGTTATGTACAACAGTTTGACACTGGCAGAGATGAGATGCCTGACTCTGCCAAAGAAGAAATCTGTTCATAGTTCAGCTTCACAAGACTTGACGCAAACTCTTAGGTCTTGACCTGTAAATCATGGGGAAGGCTTTGGTTGTCTTCTGTATCAGGAAAAGGAAACCTAACTCAATGTCAGCTGAGAGATTTACAAAGTTGTTAATACCAACAAGTAGAGGAGCACACTAATTAAAGTACAATATAATAATTATGCCAACAGTAACAAAAACCCCTGCCCTACTGCTACCAAATTAAGCAGCAAAGCTTCATTGAGAGTAGGGCTGACCCCTTAAAGAGCAAGAAATTATTAGCAGCCTAGGAGCTGGTTTAGCCTGCTAGGCCTGCCTTTAGGGTTCATATTTAACAGTTTAATATGCATTCATCTTTTTCTTAAGATCTCTTTGGGATTTCAATAATGTTACAGTTGCATATATGCAGCTAATATTACTGTACTAAGAACAAACGCCCAGTAGCATTTCCTGCTCAGTTTTCTCTCCCAACTAAATCTAATTTAGCTCAGAGGGAAATGGAGGGGGGTAAGAGATACCTGAAGAACAGGGCTGATACATTGTGAGCTGTGTCAGTGTCTGATTAATAGAGCCACCATATCTCCTCTTACTGAGGTTCATACATCTCCCAGTAGAAAAAGGAAGAAATAACCATTTCAACTTTGTGTTCTTCTTAGCCTTGTATTATTGTAGTTCTTGATTCAGAAATATATGGTATTGTATGTCAGCAGTAGAACTGGTTCAGATGGAGTGCAGGAAAACGTATAAAGAACCATCTCAAAGGCCCTAACTGGCTATGGGGAGAAACACTAAAAACATGGAGCAGAGATGTGCAACTAGCTTAAAGAGAAAATCAAATGGAAACCAAGAACTATACAAGAAGACCTGCTGATGGGGAAAAAATGTGTTAGAAACCAACCTCACATTTATTCTCAGACTTCTAAGTGTATTAAAAAAAACCACCACAAAGCAAGAGAACTGAGAATTACAAAGGAAAAGGAAGAAGAGACATGAGATAAGACAGGAAGAAACTGAGGCGGTATCTAATATAGGAGGAACAAAGAACACCCACAAGTGACAGCTAAATCCTACAGAAAAAAAAAATCTAAAAACTCATAAAGAATTAAGGATTTTTCAATATATAAATTACGTTTATTTTCTTTTAGATATAAAAGTTATAAATACATGTAAAACAGTATCTGATAAAAGAGCACTGAATCAGTTCATCTGTCTGCATAATTTGAGACCCAGAGGCCCTGACCCTGCTAGGATCATTTGATGTCAACAAATAGCTTGAAGAGCCAGCGCTGACAAGCCTAACTCAAAGGGATGCTACTGTGGCCTTCTGAGCACAGAGAAAATCATCCTGAATTGGAAATTAGCATTCTACCTTCAGGTCACCCCAAACTAACACAAAGGCAATTTCTTTCACACAGTCCTAGGCAGAAAAAATAATCAGACAGGTAACAAACTGACTTAGTCTTTCTGTGCGGGGAGAGGGAACGCAGAGCTATCAGCCAAGAATACAGAAGAGTACAACTGGAAAACACTGTGCGGTCTTGTCCCCAGCCTGATGAGCAGGAAGCACACGAAGGCACAAAAAAGAGATCCACGATTCAAGTTACCTTTCCCACTGCTCTGCTGAGAAGATCATCTCAAGTCAATGGCTCACCAGCTTATGCAAAATGGGCATCAGAGATAGGCAAGCTGGAATTCTCAGCATCAATTCATAATTTACAGCTGAATAAAGAGCTTATACATGATTATCATCACTTTTTTTTTTTTCCCTGGCAATATCAGAAAACGTCCTCACAAATTTTCACTATTTTGGAAGAGCAAATGAAATGTACCATTGTAAAGACTTCAGAGACCAAAAGCAATAGATCTGGCTCTTTGGAGTTGGAAACAGAGTCAGTCTGCTGACAGTGACAATATCCAAAGCTGAAGAACACACATTCTTGCCTCAGTAGAGGGACAGACTTTTCCAGGATCATCATAAATATATATAACGGCCACAAAACAGGCAAGACAGTAACTGTTCTCTGCGTTAGTACATAGCAGATGTGTACACTATGAGGCTTACATGTCACAGTGTGCAGCAATTCACTCTCATAAATCAAGGCCATATGAATCAAGAAGCATTTCGTTCTGCGACCTCCAGTCTCTATATTGGACATCCAGCATTAAAAATGGAACACTGGAAGGACACACTGCAAAGCCCAGATACTTTTAAAATTTTTTTTTAACTTACTGGTGCCTTCAAAAACACCTGTAATCTCCTTTTGAGGTAACTCCTTTTTTGCAGTCAGGTTAAAATTATTTACATAAAATCTACTTTAATATGTCATGACTTGAGATGACATCACATTAAAAAAAATGAAAACTGTAACTAACTTATTCCTAAAAATTTTACAAATGATGGATAAATTAAAAATTCTTCTAATCAGCTTACATTCTACATTCAATCGATCAAAAAATTGCTTTTCAGGAATAGTACTGTATATTGTTACAATATTACCCTCTGCCAAATTCAGTCAGATTCTGTCATCTATTCAGTCTCATTTTTCATATCATTAAGAGAAACAGACACAGAAATGGATACAGTATCACCAACTAAAAAGGGATCATGTGAGATTTGACTGTTCTTTATTTGGTAAAAGGGCTGTCAAGGGATATGGAGCAATTAGAATAATGAAAGGGAACTGGACTATCAGCCTTAACATAGAATCATCCCACAAAGCAAAAGTGTTTTATTTGAGCCAAAGTCTTATTCCAGCTCTGTATTTGTTCAACATTACCCTCAGTTGCATAGAGCCATAACTTGAATCCTTCCATGTCTGACTGTTGTAACAGACAGCAAAATGCAACATGGCACAAAAGAAAACACATGCCAGTAACTGTCGTCCTTTTTTTCTGAATTCATCTGACCAGAAACTCAAGAGTTCCTGATCAGATCAGTAGCATAATGTCCAGGGGCACTGTGGAAGTTCCAATACTAAACTATTATTTTTCTAATCCTAGCTGTAAGAGGTTCCAATTAGTGGGCTAAAATTCCTTAGCCCACTTTCATGCAGCATCTGTTACAAGGATTCTGAAAGCAGAATCACTGACAAAAACATCATCCCATATTCTTTGTTTTTCCACAATGCACGCAAAGACTTCTGAGTCTTGGGACAGTCTCCTAAGATGTCAACTTCTCTGAGATCTGGTATTTGTTTTCTAATAAGCCTGCAGCAGTCTGTCCTCCAGTTCCCTTTCATCCCCAATGTGCTTTTCATTACTCCACCTGGTACTCCTACAACTAGATGTAGGAATGGGAGCGCGTTCCATGTTTCAAGTCTGATGTGTCTTTCATTCACAGGCCAGTTTACTATCAAAGCTGGAGAGTCCAATAGCAAAGGCCTGAAGAGCACAGAGAGGATAATTATAGTCCAAAGTGAACACATCTTCTGCTACACGACCAAACTGCATCACAATGTAGTCAGCTGGGGAGAAAAGAAAGATTCAGAGACAATCAATTTCACAGTGAAGCAAAGAAAAACACAAACAACCAGAAACAAAACCACAGGTGTCTGGCCATCCCAAATATATGCGGTTGGTGCATCCATGCCTTTAACTAGAGTGGCCTTGAAATCTGTTCTCTAGAGTGACTATATTATTCTAGAGATTACCTTTCTTCTCAGAACCAATGCTCAAACCACTATTTTGCCAAGCTGAAGGTGCTTTCTTCAGGAAGCTTGCATTTCCTCCCTCTTTTACTGCAGCTATGGGCAGAAGACACTGCACCCGTCCCAGAAAAAAGGGAAGCCTTATCTAAATTTATCGACAGCTAAGAAGTCCCCTGTAATTCTGAGCTGAATTCCTCCACCTAGTCTTCCTTCTCCAGGAAGGGTGTACTATTTCTTCCAAACCTCATGAAACAAATGGGGTTCTCCTGTTCATATAAGCCCCACACACTCTCCATCAGATTCTTACGGTCACTGTCATGGACAATCTGGAAGTTCTTCACTGAGGCCTGAGTGACTCTCCCATGGAAGTTCAAAACATAGGATTGAGTATCATCGTTCCAGACCGGAGCCTTGTTGTGCAACTCAATGAGGTTCTCTAAATTTTTGTTTTGCCATTTTGACAGCAGACTGTCATGTTCCTGTTCAAAAGAAAGAAATACATTTATCAGATTTGGAATGGCTCCGCTTTTGAGCTCTGCCTCTCTCATATGTATAAACTCTGTCACCTGAAGGTCACTCCCACTTTAATGAAACACAGTGATAGTACTTAACGCAGTCCTACTGAAAATTTCCTGCAAGTGTCAGCAAGATGCTTTCACAGATTCCCAGTCCCAGCAGTCCTTTCCACTCAATAAACTATCACTGTATTTCCACCCAAACAAGGAAAGGCACCAACAAAGCGCATTTAGATGCAATTTTTCCTCCTTTTAAGTGGGGCAGTATTGCTTAACTGGAGGCATCACACTACAGAGAAGGAAGACAAAACCACAGTCGAACTCCTACACTGAAAACCCTGCCAACCTTTGAGAACAGGTTTGTGTTTCAGCATTGTCCACCATCAGTATGCTTGCCTGCTAACAAAGCAATTGGGAGAATAGGGCAGGGAAAAAAAAAGTATGGAAACATTGGTGTACTCACGGGAGAAACGACAATACCAGTTGAAAAACAAATGACGCCCTCTTGATACAATTTTCCTTCACATTCACAAAATTAAACCTGTTTTCCAGGCTCTCATGTCTGAATTTCCACTCTTGAAGACCTTTTCCTGACTTTGACAAATACATACTTGTCCTACTCACATCTACTCACAACATGCCTGCAAATACTATTTTCTAGCTTAAAACGCTGACCATGTCCTTCAGTCAGCACCTCTCCTTTCTGACTTTTGGTCTTCTATCACAATAAACATAAAATTCACATTAAGGGAACTGAATTATTTTAATCATAAACCTTATATCTATCTTCAGGTACAGAATTGTAAGTTTTCAGCTATAACATCCTCCATATGGATGAGAAATTCTCACTAAGTAGTCACCACGAAACACCATCTTTCTCCTCACATTTTCTTAAAGTCACTTTTCTGATTCCTACAAAGAGACTGACAACATCGTGATTAAAAATTCATTTACTCTCTTGCTACTACACCAGAATACCACCTGATCTATTTGTTATCTGTCTGCTGTAAGACTAAGAGGCTGTAAGGCTAAGACTGCAAGCTCCTGAGAGAAGGAAGTTAGTTGTGTTCATCCCCACCCATGGGGAGGGATTGTAGGCACAACAGCAACAAGGTACACTAGCCATTGCAGTAGCTAAGTAAATAATATTTAGGCTAACCAAGGGACAAGGATACAAACTCCATTCAGAAGGCTACAAATCAGGTAAAAGGGAAGAAAAAAATAATCAACACCTTTAGGCTACATTGTATTTACTCTCCATGAGACTTGCGGAAGCTCTGAGTATTAACAACCTTGCTCCAAAAAAATGCAACTGTCAGTAACACACAGACTTCTTCAAGAAAGTTTTAAACTCTTCCTTCAACTCGAAACATGACCAAACTCTGTAACTCACATTTCGTGGATGGATTGGAATTCGCTTATGATTCATATTCATTCCTGGAATGATCACAGACATTTTTCTGGGACCCTTGAATCCTAACACGTTGGTTTCCTGAAAGAAAAGGAAACACATTATTTTCAGTAAATGAGATTATCCATCTCAAAGAAGGAAAGACAGCAAAACTGAACTAGAATCCACATTTATGTTGATTTTTAGAGATTTGCTAGCTACAACTGTAGTAAGCGGTTATTTAACTGCAACTGTGTTTAGTCACCGAGAATAGCTTTCTCTGCCATTTTGAGAACTATGTTGAAAGACATACACAATACTAATTTTTAAAGCACATCTATTATCTTAATGAAACATACATAATTAAATCAGACAAGTGCAATTTCCAGGCAAAAGTTTTTGCATCTAAGGCAAAAACGTGGTAAAATATTCCTAGTGAACAAGCCTCAAGTATGATAAAAGGCAAAAATCTTCGACCTGAGTTTATGATATCTATATATCACCATTTAGCCTAAAATATTCCCGAGGAATTAATAATATTCTTCTTTAGGTGCTATTATTTGTGTTTAAGAGCATACCTACAATTTTCTCTCAAATCATGCTCTTTTATAAATGATTAAGAACAGACCCAGAAGGCAAAGTATTTAGCCTGTGTCCAAGTTTCAGCCTGGACAGCAGATTTTTCGAGAGTACCGCAGGAGTCTGCTCCCAGCAGAAATTCTTGTAGATAAAAGTTCAGAAATCTGAAAAGCTGACTTTATATTGTCTGCTGTACTCAATTTAGCACCTTGCTGTGTAAAATTAGGCAGGGAACTGAAGAACACTGTATACAAAGAAAATATCCAGTGATACTTCTGTAAGCAGTACTGGAATTATCACATCAATTTTTTCCCCCAAGTGCCATTAAGATCAACAACAAAAAAATCAAGATCATGCTCCAGTAAGCTAAAGTGCCTTTAAACTTCTGCTAGTGCACCTGTGATAAAATAAAAATCCTTCCACTTGACCATCCATCATTTTGAAAAAACCCTCAAATTTTACTCAAACTTTAGAACTGGAATATGAAACAATGTAACATGAGAACCCTCACATAATTCTAGAGTGTCCACAAGTGTTTCTTCACTCTGAAGCCTAGGCTGAAGTTATCCACAAGATCTGAAGATGAAAATGTGTCTAGGATGAAGCCAACAAATCACAATTTCTCCTGGAACCATATCCTTACAAGCAAAAAGGTGCAACCAAAATAATACCAGCTCCTTCCTATCCAGCAAAATGCCTTCGGTTCTGCAAAATGACTCTACAGGGTACTCCCATTTCTTTCTTAGCATCCACCAAACACCAGCTGGACTAGAGGCCATTCATGCTGTGGCTGGTTCCACGTAAAAGATATGCTGACTGGCCAAATGCCAGGCCAGGTAAGAAGGTCATTGGAATGTTGGTTTGGGTCTCTCTGCCTCCCCTGGCATTGACTTTTTTTTTTTCATTGTAAGAGCTCGTCTTTGAGGCCTCTGTCCTTAGTTGTATCTGGCTGAAATTGGTCAGCCCGTTCCAAAGTTAAGTGGGGGATGCCACTAGGCAGCAAGATTTAGTAAATCCCGTTTCCTCAGTAACCAAGCGACAAAAAAGAAAGGAGCAAAAGGGGAGTGACACTACTTACATAACAAATAGCTGCAAGCTCCTGTCTTGCATGAGCCTTTTCCACTAGACCTTGTGCCTTGACTGGACTAACTCCATGGTCATAGACGGTAAATTTGGTTCCCATGAGGTTTGACCTAATGTCAGGTTATGGAAAGAAAGAGAGAGAAGTCAGTGCAAAGTTTTGTCATCTGCTGAAGGTATTCGTTCAGCATAGTGCCATCTGAATCTTCCTGCTATCCGAATCTCCTGCCATCTGCATCTTCCTCTTGACAGCTCAGTAAGGAGCTTCCACAAAGTACTCGTGAAGAATTGAGCCTCTAAACTATCCTGGAAAAGCATCAAGCCAGAATTACTTTTCTGGATTGCCACAGGGACTGGTAAAGGTTGACAACTCAGGTGAATACAGATTACATAAAGCAGGACAATGTGAGTTCACTCTCTCTGAATTGATACCAGATTTCTATTCATAATTCCAACTCAGCTAAAATGAAAATCTAATCTCTCCTGTCTGTAGGTTTCATCTGTGGTTCTCACCTGAGTTTTCCAATGAAACTTTCCCCTTTCCGGGATAAATCAGTTGGATCAACTGTTATGAGGTAATTGGATGTTTTGCTCTTTTTTCGTTTTCTCCCTGCAAGAAGGAATGTCTGGAAATACAAAACTTTGATCAAGAGTCGAACTTTATAAGAATGCAGAGGCATTGCTAGGATTATTATCCAAACTGTTATCTCTCAATTTCCCACACCCATTCCTGGTTTTGTTCTGTGCTGTTATTACTGTCTGCACAATTTTGATCTCTTCCAAAAGTGCACACCCTGAAATCCTATTCCTCCAATCAGCTCACTTGGTCAGCAGTCTAGATTTAATGCAACTCTCCTTTCTACTCTCCTTTCCTTCAGAAGCAGCTCTGTCTTCCTGCTCTTCTTTATCCGTGACACTTCTATATTTTTTTTAATTTCATCTTTCATTGTATGATGGTTTTTAATTCACTTCTTATATCTTGGCCAAATATAAACTGTCCTCATCTGCATGCTAACAGATTCTGGTTTCTTACCAGCAGCTCTCCCTTACACTAAAATTATTTTCTAGTAGTACAATAGCCAAGATACTGTGTGCTGCTTCCAGTACCTTTCTGTTGTCATCCCTTTCCAGATGCATGTAATAAGTAGGGAAAAGGCCCCGGTCCATTCCCTTCTTATCTCTAGTGATTCGACATTTGACTGTAATGCCACGGGGCGCTGGGCGTAATGCAAAATCCTCCAAGTTCTCTACTTCTCCCAGCTGTGCATCTGCCTGAGAGGATGGACTACAGGAAGCACCTGTTTCCTGTGGGAAGAACCATATTAGCAAATTAATATCAGATTAGAGACTCTGGTATTCCATAAGAAAAGTCTCTTGAAACAGGAGATCTCATGTCTCAAGAAGATATTTGGGAAAGGGAAGTTAAATGAGAAACTACCTGTGTTTCTCTGAGAAAAGTGGCTGAAGACTTTTACTCTGAGGGAAGATTAGCCCTCCAAGGGGAGGGGAGAAAAAGTACCTGTTAACTAGAGATGAGCGAATTGCTAGGAAGGGGGAAAAATAGGATGAGACCCTATATGTGTTCCAAGCAAAGAGCCTCTCTGCTTTTAGAACTTCAAACACTCTGTGGGAAATAAGGCAGCATGATAAGCTGGACTGATGGATACCATAGACAGACAGGCTGGGATTTTTATGACTGAAATGAGCACTGAGATTGTGTTGCTTCAGACCAGTAGCTGAAAGGGAGTAAGCTGATGACTGAACCATCTCATTTAAAGCCAGAAGAATCCTAGAACAATACAGTCAGGATGTAAGCTACGTTCACCAAAGGAACTGGAATTTTAATGAAAATCTGGTATAGGTCATCAATTTTTATTACAGGCAGCTGAATCCTGTGGATGTAGAACCCAGGATATTCCTCCCTTACTGGGCCTTGGAAATGAGGTTCCTGGTTTATCCCCCATTCCCAGGTATAGCCAGAAGGAAGTCTGAGTGCATAAACACAGACACACACACACATACCTAAAATTAACTAGTGGCTCTCACTTCTCCTCCCCTCCAGCATCTATCACCCAGCAGTTTCTCCAGCAGTTGGCACCCATAGCCCAGCCTCCCAAGCAGCTAACATTCAGACCTCTTGTACCACTCACCCACTACTGTAGCACAACATAGAATCACAGAACAGAATCATAGAATCATTAAGGTTAGAAAAGACCTCTAAGATTATCAAGTTCAAGTGTCAACCCAGCACTACCAGGACCACTAAACCATGTCCTGAAGTGCCACATCTACACATTTTTTTGAACACCTCCAGGGATGGCGACTCCACCACTTCCCTGGGCAGCCTGTTCCAATGCCTCACTACTCTTTTAGTAAAGAAATATTTTTCCTAATATCTAATCTAAAACTCCCCTGGTGCAACTTGAGGCCATTTCCTCTTGTCCTGACACTAGTAACTTGGGAGAAGAGGCCAACACCCACCTCACTACAACCTCCTTTTAGGTAGCTGTAGAGAGCAATGAGGTCTCCTCGCAACCTCCTAACATACACACAGTCACCCCACAAATACACTCACATGGGTCACACAAAGAGTAGCACGAACTTTCAAAAGCCTGTCCAGCATTCATGCCCAAAACCTATGCCTTACACCAAAAGCTAGCTCAGACCTTGGGTTACTGACTCAGGCCTTGGGTTTTCCTGATGCTGGTTTCTTCCAACTAACTGGATAGTTCGGCATATAGTTTGTGAGGATACGTATGTATGTATGTGTCTCTCACAGACAAACATGCACACGAGAACACATTCACACAGGAATAGTTAGAAACTGAGTTTTAGAAGATGGTAGGACACGTTGCAGTAATCAGGCACAAGGTTTGGACAGACAAGCATACTGTCTTGCAACTGTTTATGTGCATCTGGTGCCTTTTACCCCGTTTACTCCCTATTTTCCCATCCTTATTACTCTCAATCCACTTTGATCCTTTCTTTTTCCTCGAGTTCCTTCCCTTAAACCCCCCTTTAAAAGTTTTGTCCAATCACAGAATTCTAGTCCCCCTCCCATCCCACAATAAATGCTGTAAATCTTCAGGCAGTGATCCCTTTTCGATTTGCGTGGCATTTCAGAGTTTCTGAGTCATCTTGGTGGATTTTACACCAGAGACAATGGCCTAATCTGTCTCTTTTGAGGGTCACAGGAGTAACTGATTCATTGTATTCTCATCTCCACTGATTAGGCTACTTGGGCTCCTCTGCCCACCATTGTTCCTTTGATCATTACTAGGTCTTTGGGCTTAACTCAATGGCCCTTCAGTGAGATAACCTGACAATCATGATCTTCCTCTGCCTTCAGGGATTAATATGCCAGTGGCTGTAGTTGCAGTACTATATTTTAACCCAGTGCTCAAGTGTTAGTAAATAAAATCGAGCAAGTGGCCAGCCTTTACCAGAAATGGATTTCAAGACACTCACTGCAAAAGATTTCTCGCTGGTTGCAGAACTAGGCCTCTCAGATTCACGACACGGTGAATGAGATGCTGGTCTCTTACTAGCTTCTTCCTCTTCTGTGTCTTCCTCATCAAAATTCAGACTGCCTGAAATTCCTGTCAGAATATAGGATCAAGCAGGCAACCTCTGAAAGAGGGTGTCATGAGTTCATGGCATCACTAATTCATATATGACTCTTGCATAGCTATTTACTCTTCTAATTCATTTCTGTTGTTTCAACTGCTGATTTTCTTCATGTGCTATATGGCTTCCTGAGCCTTGTAAATCACACCCCTAGTGACATTTTGCAGCTGTCACTGTGCAGATGATTAAGCAGCTGTCAGGCTTTTATTAATACATATTTTACATTATATTACATGACGTAACACATTGCTTAGAATATGCTGTCATTGAACTAATTCTGCCTATTTGCAAGATAAAATGTCTTCCATGTCTTAAGAACAACAAAAAAAAAAGAAATCCAGATCAATACGCTGACGCCTATTCTGTAAATTGTACTCTGTACAGTTTACATCCTTCACCATTTCCATTTAGTCTTACACAGACTGAAATGGAGTATGATAATTTTTTAGTAAGAGTCCCTCCTGTTCTTAAATCAGTAGTAATAACTCAGGTCTCATGAATACGACCAATAATTTGGTTTTTAGAATAGAAGTGTCAACTGAGTAGTTCCAGGACTTACTTATTTAATCTTAATCTAAGCACAGTTATGTAGAGATGGTTGTGGGTATATAACTAAAATAAATCTGTAAGAAGACATTTATAAAGACCTTCTGTATACATCACTCTTCGGTGTTTCCTTTCATTTGGAACTGCATTACCTTATTCTGTGATTCCATTCTTTAATCTGGCTGTAGAATAGAAAAGCACATAAAGCACTAGAGAAAATGAACACACTCAGCTTGCTAAGCTGCATTATTTTCTGAGAGTCAGTATAAAAACAGTGCTCCAACATGGCACTGCAGAGAACGGGCACTGTTGGAAGTCTTTATCTCAGATGAAACAGAAAAAAAGTAGTCTTAACAACCTGTCAGTAAACTTCCCAAAGCACATTTGGAAAAAGGAAAGGCGTTAACCCTAGTACTCTGGCCAATTTCAAAATTCACTGTTTATATTCTACCTCCACTAATTTCCACTGATGTTTCTGGATATCCTCTCCCATTTCCTTTCCTAACCCTTGTGTAATGTTGCTATCCACAGGTAAGCAGTTGTTGCATCCAAAAACTGAATGAAAGTATTTCTACATATGGTAGTACTTTAATATGTCAAGTGTACTGCAGACATTCTGAGAGACAGGCTTCGCACATAAAAACTAGCTGTGTACCATATTAAGCACTAGCTATTATTTTGCTGCAAAGTGCTTAGGCTGCGTGCAACAAAAAAAGATTTCCTGTGGTACTGGCAGCAGTATAAGATACTTGGACAACAGAAAAGGACACTCCACCGGGAAACTACTCAGTGGGATATAACTATTGAATATAAAACTTCAAAATTGTTGATTATGACAGCCTCTGACTCCGGAAGAACACCTTTCCCGTTAGTCTCCTAAACAGTTAAAGTACAGCATTTACTGGCTACAGAGAGTTCTGCTGTTGTGAAAATATTCAAGCATCATATCCACGTACTATATATCTGAAATAAAAATACTCTAAACTTTAGCAAAATGTCACTAATTTCCTCATAAAGGTCAGAAATTATACAGCACATTCATAAACCTTTAAAACATAACTGTCATGTTCCAATAATATCAGACGGAACTGCAGTTCTGCATTTCTACAAGCTGTAGAATCTGCTAGTTTTGGATTTAAAAGTAATATCCTACAGATACTTGTTACATGATTCCTCGTATTTTTTAGTTTTTTTAATACTACTTTAAAAACTCTATAAGAAGTAGAAGAGCCCTGAAAAAGACTTCTGCCCATTATCAACTCTTACCTCGTTTCTGTAAGATTTCTTGCAGATCTGCCTTGCCTGCTGTGTCTGTTAGAGCCTCTCCATCCTTTTCCTGATCTGCATTGTCTTCTGCTTTGGAAGATCCAGTAGACAGAGTTTGGAGCTTGGACCCCAAATCTTGCACTTCTGATTTCAGGAAAGCAGCTGGTCCATCAATGCCTGCAGGTCAAAATGAAAGACAGTGCTAAAGTCTGGTTTTTACAGCTAAAGATGCATCCCAGGATGGTTCTTCTTTTTTACTTTCTTGTTCAAGCATCCCTTTACGGTACCGACGTATACTTGTTCAATTTTCATCAGAAGACTTGGGAGGAGTCAGGCCTGACTGGTACAGACTGCCTATTACTTTAAACATATCAGGCATCAGCTTCCCCATCTATAAATATATTTACAAGGGCTTAAGTAATTAAAACAAGTTGTATTTGTCATGCACATTGATATCCTTTGATTTATTTATGGACAACCACTCTATTTCCTTTTCCTTCACATTTCTTGTTCACTCTCATGCCAATAAGTGAGTGCTCTACAGTGAACATCACAAATCAATTCAAAGCCACATGCAGCGAAAACTGTAAATAGATGCCTTCTATTTTTTTTCGGTAGAAATGAAATGATATTTCCATGTTTAAACACGCAACACAGCTGTGCACCGCACTTCAGAACTGGTGGAGATATCTTGATGTCAGGGCCTGGTATAACTATTAATACACGCTTGTGCAGCACACAATATGCAAGTGCAGTTCCAGCTTTGGATTTCTTGCCTTCCCACTGTTTTCCTTCTTAAAACTTTACTGTTTCATCTAGTCATCAGATTTCTGATGTGTTTACTGCTATTATCAGTTTTGAACAGGGATTGTTTGTACTGAGGAAGCTTCAGAACTATCATAGAATCATTCAGGTTGGAAAAGACCCCTGGGATCATCAAGTCCAACCACTAACCCTACTCTACAAAGCTCACCCCTAAACCATAACCCCCAACACCACATCTAAACGATTTTTAAACTCATCCAGGAGTGGTGACTCAACCACCTCCTTGGGCAGCCTGTTCCAGTGTCTGACTACTCTTTCTGTGAAAAAACTTTTCCTAATGTCCAGTCTAAATCTACCCTCTTCGAAGCCCTTCCCCCTTGTTCTATCACTAATTACCTGTGAGAAGAGACCAGGACCAACCTCGCTACAATGTCCCTTCAGGTAGTTGTAGAGAGTGATGATGTCTCCCCTCAGCCTCCTCTTCTTCAAATTAAACAGTCGCAGCTCCTTCAATTGCTCTTTGTAAGATTTATTCTCCAGGCCTTTCATGAGCTTTGTTGCCCTCCTCTGCACTCACTCCAGCACCTGAATATCTCTCTTGTATTGAGGTGCCCAAAACTGGATACAGTACTCAAGGTGTGGCCTCACCAGTACTGAGTTCAGGGAGACAATTGCCTCCCCACTCCTGCTGGTCACACTGTTTCTAATACAAGCCAGGATGCCATTGCCTTTCTTGGCCACCTGCACATACTGCTGGGTCATACTCAGCCACATGTTGATTAGAACCCCCAGGTCCCTTTCTGCCAGACAGGTTTCCAGCCACACTTCTCCAAGCCTGTAGCAGTGCCTGGGGTTGTTGTGGCCCAAGTGCAGGACCTGGAACTTGGCCTTGTTGAAGCTCATCCCATTAACACTGCTCCATCAATCCAATCTCTTCAAGTCTCTCTGTAGAGCCTCTCTACCCTTGTGCAGATCAACTCGCCCACCTAACTAACTTGGTGTCATCTGCAGACTTACTGATGATACACTCTAAGTCTTTATCAAGATTATCATTAAAGATGTTGAACAGAAATGGTCCCAACACTGAGCCCTGAGGAACACCACCTGTGACCGGCCACCAGCTGGATTTAAATCCATTGATCACCACCCTTGGGGCCCATCCGTGTAGCCAATGCTTTAGCCAGCAGATCGCATGCTCATCCAAGCCATGAGCAGCCAGTTTTTCCATGAGAATTCTGTGGGGAATAGAGTCAAAGGCTTTTTGAAATCTAGGTAGACAATATCCTCATCCAATAGTTGGGTCATTCTGTCACAGAAGGAGATCAAGTTTGTCAGGCAGGACGTGTCTTTCATAAACCCATGCTGACTGGGCCGGATCCCCTGATTATCCTCTATATGGCATGTAATGGCACTTGAGATGATCTACTCCATGACCTTCCGAGGTCGGAGTGATAGGTCTCTAGCTTCCCGGATCCTCCTTTCTGCCTTTCTTGTAGATGAGTGTTACATTTGCTACCTTCCACTCCATTGGGACCATTCCAGGTAGCCAGGACTTCAGGTAAATAATGGAAAATGGCTTTTTAAAATCTTCAGGCTAAGCTTTACACCATCTCTGCGCAACTCTTTCACCACCCGTACGTGTAACCCACCCGGCCCCATAGACTTGTGTGCATCTAAGTGGCATAGCAGGTCACTGACCACTTCCTCTTCAATTGTGATGACTTCATTCTGCTTCTCCTCCCTGTCTCCTAGCTCATGAGGCTGGCTGTCCAGGGAACTGCTAGTTCCACTGCTAAAGATTGAGGGAAAGTAAGCATTGAGCACCTCAGCCTTTTCCTCATCCTTTGTCACTCTGTTTCCCTCTGCATCCAATAAAGGATGGAAGGTAGTGAGAAAGAAGTTAGTTTTCATTTTCCCTTTTTCTAGTTTCAGTACCACTAAAGTTTCCCAACTTAGAAGTTATACCTTCTATATCTTTTTCTCTCACTCTCTTTTTGACTTGAAAGTGTCTTTAATAAAAGCTTTCTCCCACCTGATTTCAAACATATAGATGCTACCACCCACATCACCATTCTCCTCCCCACCTGGTGATGCTGAAAGACATCTGGAGAACAAGAAAAATATTCAAAAGACAGAAGATGACCTAATTCCAAATTGAGCTTCAAACCAGGTGACACTGGTTTGTTTGGGTTTTTAAAATTCTACTCTGCATATTAATTCCCTATTAATACAATGGTGGCATTACAACATCCTGCAATAGCATGCATCTCAAAGCCTTAGGATGTTTCCTGTTACTGGCTCAACAGACTGATGGGATCCTGGCTCTCATAAACTACTTCCTGACACTTCCACTGGTACACAGAGATTTCATTGCTGCTCTTTTTTACTTCCTGTGACATAGAAGTCTTAAGACTCTTGCTACTGTATTCCTTTTTATTCCTAACAGAATGGTAACTATTTTACCGCAACATTTGGAGACCACTGAGTTATTACTTTTGGCTACGATGTCACTCTGTGCTTATCACTTTCTGGACTACTACAGCTTGTTTGCCACGTTTCAGTTGTTTTCTGTGTGCTTCAGTGAGACAACAGGTGAGGTGAAAAGCAGCAAGAACCTAATTCAGTATTTATAAGATCTCTTTTTTCTCATGTCAACTTTATCAGTCATACAGAATCTTGAGGAGTACACCATACCATGCAGAAAAGTACAGACAGTTATTACTGAATTATTTTATTTTCTTTGTCCTACAGTTTCAGAATACTCTCTTACTCTGATTTTGCGTCTCCCTACCTTTATAGATGTTCCTGACCTGTTTTATAGTTCTTCATAGCCTAAAACAAGGGAGAGATTACTCAAAAGTAGATAAAGATTCTCAGTTGTCACAAAATCCAAGGTAAGGTTTTGGGGTTTTTCTTGCTTGTTTTTACAGTTCAGTATTTCTTAACTATACTATATTACAATTCTACTTTTGTACATAGAAAGTTATCAATCTTGTTTATCACTTGACCACTGTCACAGCAATGTAGGTGCCCATCTGTAACAAAACGCATGCATTGGCATTGTGGGGAACATTGTTACAATCTGGGTGATTACTTACCGTGTAAAATAACGTCACTGTGGAAAGGGGTAGGAGTTTCTACTAAAGGAGTCTGCTCCTCACACTCTTTGGGCTTTGACCGACGCAGCTTTGTCTCAGGATTTGGCTGCACCATCAAGGGATCAAGACGTTTCTTCCTCTGCTTCTTCTCTAGAAGAGCTCTCTATGAAATAAAGAAGCAGCATGCAATATGGGTGTCATGGTTTGACCCTGACCAGTAACCAGGTACCCACACAGCCGCTCTCTCACTCCCCCTTCTCCACTATACCAGGGGAAAAAATATTTCAAAGGGCTTAAGGTTTGAGATAAGGACAGGGAAATCACTTTCATTTACCGTCCCGGGCAAAACAGACTTGATTTTGGGGAAATTAATTACATTTATTAAGAGAACAAATCAGAGAGGAGTAGTGAGAAGTACAAAAAAGCAAACAGATCTTAAAAGCAGTACACCTTCCCCTATCCCTCCCTTCTTCCTGGGCTCAACATCAATCCCGGTTTCTCCACCTCCTCTTCCCGAGCAGTGCAGGGGGACAGGGAATCAGGGTTACGGTCAGTTCATCCGACTTTGGTTCCACCGCTTCTTCTTCACTCCGGAGGAGGACTTTTCACACTCCCCCAGGGCCATCGTGGGGTCTCTCTCACGGGAGACAAGCTTCGCTCTCTCTTCTCCAGTGTGAGTTGTCCCACAAA